CCCCCCCCCCTCCGCTCCAGGCGCACCTGAGGGGCTGCAGGGCCCCTCCCCGCCCCTCCCCGCCCCGTGTCACCGCCCCAGCCCGGGGGTCCCGGGGGTCCCGGGTGCCCGTCACCGTGTTCTCGTTGCAGCCGTGCGGGGCGCAGGGCCGGGCCGGGGGGGCTGCGGGGGCCCCCCTGGCCCGACCCCTGCCCCTGCCCCCGCCGGAGCCCAAAGCCCCCAGCGGCCCCCCGGGCGGAGCCCCCGCCGCACCCCGTAAGTGCCCCCCTGCACCCCCCTGCGCCCCACGGCACCCCCACGGCACCCACTGCGCCCGCAGCCGGGCCCTGGCCGTGGGGGGCGGGGGGCAGGGGGGCCCGCCAGGGGGGCGCAGGGGGCAGGTGTGGGGGGCACAGGGGGCCCCGGCAGAGGGGGGCAGACAGGTGCGGGGGTGCTCAGGTGTGGGGTGCAGGTGTTCAGGTGTGGGGTGCGGAGCTGTGGGGTGCAGGTGTCCAGATGTAGGGTGCAGGTGTTCAGGTGTGGGGTGCAGGTGTCCAGATGTGGGTGCAGGTGTTCAGGTGTGGGGTGCAGAGCTGTGGGGTGCAGGTGCTCAGGTGTGGGGTGCAGCTGTGGGGTGCAGGTGTCCAGATGTGGGGTGCAGGTGCTCAGGTGTGGGGTGCAGCTGTGGGGTGCAGGTGTCCAGATGTAGGGTGCAGGTGTTCAGGTGTGGGGTGCAGAGCTGTGGGGTGCAGGTGTCCAGGTGTGGGGTGCAGGTGTTCAGGTGTGGGGTGCAGAGCTGTGGGGTGCAGGTGTTCAGGTGTGGGGTGCAGAGCTGTGGGGTGCAGGTGTCCAGATGTGGGGTGCAGGTGCTCAGGTGTGGGGTGCAGGTGTCCAGATGTAGGGTGCAGGTGCTCAGGTGTGGGGTGCAGAGCTGTGGGGTGCAGAGCTGTGGGGTGTAGGTGCCCAGGTTTGGGGTGCAGGTGTCCAGGTGTGGGGTGCAGGTGTTCGGGTTTGGGGTGCAGCTGTGGGGTGCAGGTGTCCAGATGTGGGTGAAGGTGTCCAGGTGTAGGGTGCAGGTGCCCAGGTTTGGGGTGCAGAGCTATGGGGTGCAGAGCTGTTGGGTGCAGGTGTTCAGGTGTGGGGTGCCCAGATGTGGGTGCAGGTGTCCAGGTGTAGGGTACAGGTGTCCAGGTGTAGGGTACAGGTGTCCAGGTTTGGGGTACAGGTGTCCAGGTGTGGGGTGCAGAGGGTCGCAGGTGACACCTGGGGACCTCAGCGCTCTGGTGCCAGCAGCCACCCAGGGGTGACCCAGCACAGGGTGACACCTGGGGTGCCCCCGGGACAGGTGACAGGAACAGGGGGGCAGCAGGTGACAGGGGCCGCTCAGGGAGTACCCCTGGGACAGGTGACAGTGACCCAGGTGACAGGGGTGCCCAGGTGACAGTGACACAGGTGACAGGTGACGGGTGCCCAGGTGACAGGTGACAGTGACAGTGACACAGGTGACAGGTGACAGGGGTGCCCAGGTGACAGTGACAGTGACACAGGTGACAGGGGTGCTCAGGTGACAGGTGACAGTGACAGTGACACAGGTGACAGGTGACAGGGGTGCCCAGGTGACAGGTGACAGTGACCCAGGTGACAGTGACACATGTGACAGGGGTGCCCAGGTGACAGTGACAGTGACACAGGTGACAGTGACAGTGACACAGGTGACAGGGGTGCCCAGGTGACAGGTGCCCCCGCCCGGCCCGGCTGCCCGTGCATCATCACCTGCATCGTCATCGCTGTCACCAGCCCGGCGCCTCATCCCCGCCCCCATTCCAGCCCCGGCTCCTTCACCATTTCCCCCCCTTTTTACCCCATTTTCGCTCCGGGGGGAGGTGCGGGAGGGCGGGGGGGGTGCTCCAGGACCCCCCCGCGTCCCCCCCCGAGGGCAGGGGACACCTGGCCGCATCCTCGGGGGGGTGGGGGAGGGGAGGGGAGGAGGAGGAGGAGGAGGGGGGGGGCCCACCCAGCTAA